TACTCTGTACATTTCCTGGGCTCCCGTATTAATCACGAACTTAAGATTCATTTTTTTTGGGGGGGGGGGCATTTGGTTCCTGCTGACTGGATTGTGCAATTCACTAACCCGAAGCAGTATTGGATTGCTATCTAATACATATAAATAAAGTACAATTGCATCCAAGTAACTGATGTGTAGCCCTGTGGTGCTTAAGAAGGATGTCTGATCAACTCCGTTTTTGTTCATCCCCTTGTGTTCCCCATGGGAGTGAAGGTTACCTGATAACACAAATACATCTTTATTTTACTAAAATAACCACAGTACTCTTGTTTTAGTGGGAAATTCCTAATATTTTACCTGAATGCCATGGGTAATGGGAAAATGTTATTGAACCACCGTAGCTTGCTAATGCTACATGCTAACTACCGTGTCTAGTGTGAAGGTAGGGTGGGTCTCTGCTGCTCTCTGCTGGTGGAATGAAGAACTGTAGTGAAATTAATTTTATATAGTGTAGCTAAAGAAATGTTTAAATTTACAATCATTTACTTAGCAAACGCTTTTGACCAAATGCCATACAAATAAGGATCAGAGAACAAGGTTAGAGAGTGTCCCCCGAGCAGTTAGGGCCTTGATAGCCATGGGACTTGAGCCAACAACCTTTTGACCGCTAGCGGAGTGAAGCTGACCCACAATGTCGCCACGAAATATTAATTTACTCAGTCCTGTATTTGGAACTGGAAGTTAAAGATGCATTCCTGCAAGTTAAAGTCAAGGGCCATATAATTTTCAAATTAATCTGAATAGTTTTTCGTAGATCAAATTACTGTGTATCAGTTCAGTACAGTATATATTATGTATTTGTCACTTTTATTATTTGAGTTAGTGTCGGGCTCTGGTGCGGCACGGTGGTGCACTGGTTAGCACTGTCACCATCACCACTGTGACCAGGGTTTGAGTCTCTCCCAGGGTTCCATTTGTGGAGTTTGCATGGTCTCTCCGTGTCATTGTGGGGTTTCCGCTGGGGGCTTCGGTTTCCCCCCCCAATCCAAACACATGGTGAGGTTAGAGGTACCAAGGTGTGTGTGTGTGTGTGTGCGCGTGTGCGTGCGTGTGCGACGTGCCCTGTGATAGGTTGGCACTCCCTCCTGGGTTGTTCCCTGCCTGGCACCCATAGACTCCAGAACCCTCCCCCCCCCCACAGCCCTGGATAAGTGGTTACAGAGTATAGATGGATGAATATTGAGCTGTGGGTGAGATAGAGAGTTTACAGTATTGATCCCAAAATACATACTGTTGGTTTACAGTATGAGCAGAAAGAATAGACAATTAATTTAAAATAAACACCACAATTAGCTAAACAATAAGGATACATTCAAATGTTAACATGTTTAGGTAAAAATGTTACTTCTATTTATAAGGCTAAATATTATTTTAAGCTGTAGGGCTGATTCAGTGTGCCTTCTGAATTATATTTATGAATATTATCTAGACCTATTTTCTATGGTATTCTTTTAAAATGAAGCCTGTTGCTTTTGAATTTATATTTTGGCAACCAACCGCACAACACAAACTTTTATTTCTTCATTTTGAGGTCTTTGCCCATTCGCCTCCGTTTGCTTTTTCTTCTTTTCTGCCACCACTTTGCTCGTGCAACTTCCTGTGACATAATCGCTCGCCATTGGTCTACAGCTCTGGGTATTCCCCGCCCCTGGGTGAAGAGGCTGCCAATCATTCTCTCTCTCTCTGGAAAACATAACTGTGCCAAAAGAATACAATATTTTTCATTTATATATGGTAATACACTAAGAACCCAGGTGTCCTCTTCAAAAACACTGCAGTAAAGAGCCTTGGTTGTTTCGGTTGGCTACTCACTATTTAGCTACTGAACTAATTATATTTTATAGCCTACAACCGAGTGATAAGCTGCAGAGTTAATTGGGACATGATAAGCTTCAGAGCTAATTAGTGGGGAGATACATGCTTGTATGATCACATCGTGCAGCAGTGATTGGTCTGCAATTCTCTTTCTCTCTCTCAAAGGTACATTCTCTACATTGTCTTCTGCAGGTTACATCTTTTTAGTGTTATTCTGAAGATTATATTTAGGGATTGACATAACTGGTGCGCAAGTACGCATTCACCTTTAAAAGCGATACGTGCGGCAATCGATTGTTGTAACAGCATGAATTGACCTGGACAGGAGGCTTATAAAAGCGACACAGGGGATGTTATAAGACCGTGTGGTTTATCCCGAGGTGTTTTGCCATCCTCTATGGCCATCACCACCTTGGACAGGTACCCGCTACCCGAATGCCACAGGTGCACCATGCATATGCCCGGGTCCAATCTGCTGGGTCTGTCCCTCACTATCACTCTGTATTATTGTCCTGCACTTTATACTGTATACCAGTGTTTCCAGTTCCGTTCCTCGGGGACCCACAGACAATCCATGTTTTTGCTCCCTCCCAGAGCAAGACCAAGAGCAAAAATGTGGATAATCTGGGAGGGAGCAAAAACATGGACCTGCTGTGGGTCCCTGAGGACCAGATTGGAAAACACTGCCGTATATTATATGGTTAATTTGACTGGGTGTTTCCAGTAGGAGGCAGAAAAGGAAGAGTGGTTGTAGCTATACTGTAGATGCTTTTCATAAGCACCTGTGTGAGGAGGTGTGAAGGTGCCCAGCTTCAGGATCTGCGTACTTGTCCATACTTGTGTTCTCATGTACCTGTTTGATGTCATGTTCCATTACCAAAGACTAGTTCCCATATTAAGAACAGAAGTACAGAGGACAGTAATAATCCCCAGATGTCATTCTTGCTCCGTCCCAAATACCAAGGATACATCTGTTGCATCCTCGCCTAGGGAGACTAATCCCATGATTCACTGCACCCCAAGTTTGTTCTTGGGTGGCAAGTTTGCAAGACGGCTCTTGCCAAGAACACAAATACTATCTCTGTGGTCTTGGTATTGAGAAACACCCCTGCAACTGGATTACTTTGTCAGCAGAAGCTTTGTAACTAATAAAGTCATTTATATTTATCAGTGTGTTTGAAGAAAATGATCTATTTAGTAAGTAGCCGTGCAATATGCCTTACAATTATATCAATGGTGACAAAGAGGTCAAATCAGCCCCCCATGGACTCTGCACTCAGTGGAGTTGGTCTAAATGTCTGTCCATCCTAATATGAAGTACGGCATGGCAAATACATACAGGCACAGGAGCAACTGGTGATTAAGGGCCTCAGGCCCAGTGGTGAAATTACTCTGCTGCTAAGCCACACGCCACCAAGAAAATTACTGACCATTGGCAAAAGGCTACAAGTCATGTAGGGAATTTTTCAGTCACTCGGTCTTTCGGAGTGACGACGAACAAAACCACTGTGCTGTACAGGTGCATAAAGGGACTACTGCCCAAACAGGGACTTGAACCCTGGACCCTCAGATTAAAAGACTGATGCTCTACCGACTGAGCTATCCAGGCTCATGTCTGTAAGTGAAAACCACATCATCAGGTCCTTGTGTTCACCTAATATGAGCACGTTGCGTAACTTGGTGCAGGTTCCTATGAATGACTTAAAAACAAATACAGTGATATAAAAATAAGGGAGAACAGAAAGCTTCATTTTACTTGTATTCCCATCCTTACATTCCCAAAGGATGAAAAGGTGGGGTCTGTATTACAATTCTTTTTTGTTTTGATGCAGTAAAGTTCTGAGGATGGACGAGGAGACAGTCACACCGCCAATAGGACACGGCTGTCAGACTTAAGGGATTAAATGTTTTTGACGGCTTAGTCTGCAGCTGGAATATAAATGATCTTAGAGCCCCGAAGACCAAATACAGACGTTTCCTACTTATTCCACAACGCCCTGCTGTCCTGGTGCTTTAGATACGTCGATATTTTAACTTGGAACAGTGACAAAAAGTAATTCTAGAAAATCAATGAATCTTTGGCTTGAAAGATAAAGCTAATGTGTAATGGTTACTCGATCTCTGGAGAAAATTCAAGGAAAGGGTACAGCAGTCATTTTTATGAAATGACTAGGAATTTAGTGCCCATTTAGGTTGGACATAGTGGTAATGATTTGTAGAATAATCTGATGCATGTGAAGATCTTACTGAGGTTCCTGGGCTGAATGCATATTCACATGCTTCAGTGTCTGGCTGCCACTGCTGTGAGTGACTTACTGCCCTGGCTGGCTCCCTATAACACGTCATGTAAGAGCACTGGCAGAGCCAGCGGAACACAAGACCTACCCTCATGCTGAGCGTCCATAGTACAAGATATCATTTCAAGGACACCCCCCACCCCTCCCCCCACATAAGATGAGACAAGTATAGAGGCAATGAAACTAGATGGGAGCTTCATTAAAAGTCAAAAGGAAGGGGCCCTTTATTAAAAGCTAAAGGAAGGGACCCTTTATTAAAAGCCAAAGGAAGGGGCCCTTTATTAAAAGCCAGAGGAAGGGGCCCTTTATTAAAAGCCAAAGGAAGGGGCCCTTTATTAAAAGCCAGAGGAAGGGGCCCTTTATTAAAAGCCAGAGGAAGGGGCCCTTTATTAAAAGCCAGAGGAAGGGGCCCTTTATTAAAAGCTGCTATGATAGTGGCTCTTACAGGCCAGGCTGAAATTAAGCCAAGCGGATGATCCCCATGCCCTGCCGTGAAGCATTATGGGTAAAGACAGAAAAACGGTGTGTGCACTGGGCACACTCATTACGTTTCATACCCAGTGCGATGCCAGCTTATGTCGTTATACTTCTAAGGGTTTGCGGAGGTTCTGTAACATTCAAAGGTTTTCTGGACAATCATTTTTGCAAGATAAATAATAATAATAATAATAATTTAGGAATTCTAGTGAGATTACAAAGCAAAATGAAAGGCATCAGGATGAGTATTAACTGTGAGCCATTATTTTCCTCACAGTAAGTAAATCTTCACTGTCCCTTCAGCCCCCCGTATACAGCCTCCCCCCACACTCCCTCTCCCAATCCTCTGTCTCACCCCTCCCACACACACACAGACTTCCCCCCGCTAATCCAGGTCTTGGCTGCACTCTTCATGGCTCCTGTGCAGCCAATAACAGATCTGGGCGATTTTCAGCGGCGTGAACCTCACCGCCACGTTAAAGTCACGATTCTCCCCATCCACCTCCAGCCACTGGTGCCCGGAGAAGACGCCGATCACCCTGCGCTCCCACCTTTCCAGGGCGGAGTCCCAGACGTGGCTGCACACCCCTGAGCCGCTGGCCCCAGGCTGGGCGTCGCAGTGTTGGTAGATCAAGTCACTAGACTCATCCTCCACTGGGCAGAAGCGATACACCAGCTCCCCAGGTCGGTCACTGTCAAAGCCAGAGAAGTGGATCCGTCTCCCAGCCAAGTCCTCCAGCGAGGGGGCCGCTGAGAGACGCATGAAAGGGCGCTGATGAGGCCATCGCAGCTCAAGCAGGGCGTAGTCAAAATCCATGCTTATTTCCCGGAGACCCTGGATCCAGCCTTTGGGGACACGTGTGCGTCGCACACGCACCCAATGAACAACGGGTGTTGTAGGGGTAAACTGACCAGGATTGGTGCCATTCATAGTGGGCGGGGTGTCCACAGTGGGCGGGGCATCCATAGTGGGCGGGCTTATAAAGCCCACCTTCAGCTTTCTAGCACCTTTGACGTAGTCCTTCCCGTTGTGAACACAGTGGGCGGCTGTAAGGACATGATGTGCCGACACCAGGACCCCCGTGCAGCCTGTGGATATACGGACTGTGGTGGAGAAAGGGTAGTCAAGCAGGAAATGGTCACCGCGGATGCTGAAGCGCCCATCCTCTCCGTAGATCTGGCGTTTTTGTCTGTCGTGTCTCTCTGAGCGTTCTATCCTGGGTGAAGGCCGAATTAAAGGATTATGCTTGCTGTCCTTCTCACCCTCATCCTCGAAATCCACAGTGGTCAGGGTGCGGGAGCCATCTGAGTACAGTGTCTCAAAAGCTAACCGCTCGCTCAGGACTGGGACATTTTCACTCTCCCCCTTGTGGTAGCAACTGGCATTGCAATGCGTGGTCAAATCCAGCTGAGGCTCAGCGGTGAATAGAGGGCGGGAGAGGGGCTGGGGGGA